GTTCAAATATCACGTGTGGTTTATCGGTTGCGTGGCCACAAGTGGCGAGCATTAGCTTGACGTGAAATTTAACGGTTGTTTGTCGTGTGGAGCAAAGCAAATTTCACCTGTCCAGCCATTTCCATCTTGACTACCACAGAATGGAGTGCGAAGGTGATTGGCAGAAGAGGAAGTGTGTACTATCAATTACTGTAGAGGGCGCATCGCTAATGCGATCACAACCAATTGCTGCGTGAAGAGCACCGGCAAGGCGGATCGTGTTGACACAAGTGCGTCAGTTGGAGAAGCCATAAAAATTCGCGACTTCTATCCAAAATAAAGTGGCAAGGGAAAGCAATGCTTCAAATCCTTGGTAGATCCTTAAAGGCATAGGGACCTACACCATCCACAATCGCACACTCAACCAATTTGAGGCACTGCAAACGATGGAGGTATGTAATAATATTATTAACTGTTAGTAAGCTAGTGGATCCTTAGTTCTTGTCACGTTCTCCCTTAAAATTGACACAGCTTAGGTAATGCTTGAGCTTACGAAAATGTAATCTCTGCATTATATATCTCGGACACAATCACGTACAAAGTGGTGGTTTATCTGTAAGGGGGGTTTAAAGTCAAACCAGGAAGGAGGATACTAACTGATGCTACAGCGGCATTACCACATTTTGTGGTACAAGTCAATCCACCAACCCTTCTTCAGGATAGCAAATGGGCGACAGTGTGATGCATCGACGTGGATTGATGATTAAAATGTCCTGTCAAAGGAGACGAAAAACTCGAACTCACTCCTCAATCTTTTCATGGACATGTGACCTGTTGTCCCGCTACCAGTGTGGATATATGGCGTGGTGGTTAAAGGCAAAAGGAAACTCCTAAAAGTACATCAAACTGTGTGCTTTCACACTTCCACCCTTTCCTCCTTAAATTGCCTCCACTCACAAGTTAGTCGTCAGCAAAGTAGTCAAGACCGAATTGCTTATTTGAGTTCATTTTGCTTGCTTTGTTAAGAGCTCCTTGTCTGGGTAAGGTGTAGACGCCGCCTCTGAAAAAAATAGAAATGAAAGAGAGGAAATGCAATGCAAGTTATGGTGGAATTGTAAGAGAAGAATAGAGAGCCTTGATGGTAACACTGCAGTATCTCACGAATTGATCAATGCGTTGGCATCACCTGAGTGGAAGGGGTAGTGCGGTAGAATGTATCAATCAGAGTTATCTGTTATTTGTGGTGATTAGCTTAGCGGCAGAAGAGTCAGGTTGAGAAGATAGGTAAATATTGTACCAAAAGGGCAAAACTTAATGCTCAAAAATATGTTGGGGAGTTATGAGAAATCGTGGATCTAATAACATCATTTTTGCTTTTGACCTAAATCTTTATCTACAAAGCTGGCATTTACTTAAATGCCCAAAATTCTTTTCAGCCTAGCAGAATGTCAATTGTAGTACTGAAGCTGATATCTAAGCCTTACAAATGTACAAAACAAGTCGTGGAAGCTTTTCGATTAGAGATTAACCATATTTATTCACCCTTTTTCTTTAATTATAGCTTTTAAGTAGTAGAAGTCAGTCAATTAATTTGTCGAGGGACGGAAGCTGCTTAATATACAGAAGTTCAAATAGCTTCCGTTTTAATGGGAATAAAATAATTAACCGAAATGTTGAAAAACATTTGTACCTTGCTTACTAGACATTTATCCAATTTCTAATATAATAACTTTAGAAGACTTAAGGACCTAGAATTAGTAGTCTGAGCTGCATATATCCATTCAAAATCACTTTATTTACGGTAAATCCATAAACCTATTTGAGTCTGTTTAGGATATCTTTAATTTAATCGAGTCAAATGGGTCACAACGTATTTTTTACTCACTCTTGTACTTGCTGTATTAAATGCTTTCTAGTTCAAAAAGGAAAGGCACAAAATTTGCCCATTTGCTTTATTAAAAGAAATCACCCCCTTCGTTTTCCGAAATCGAGTTTAGGCGAATGAGTTAAACATTACCATTCAAAATTTTAAACCATCCATTACATTAACTCACCTCATTTTTAACAAAAACAGCAACAATGCACGTTGACAATTCACATATCTTTATGCATGAAGCCAGAGGCAGGGCAAGCACTTGCGGCTGTACTTGGGAACTGTAGATTGTATTGCTCAGAACTACAAACTCAGAGGAGGCGCAAACAATTAAAGCACTGACTAAACCTAGCACCTTTCGCCTCATTGTCAAACTAGAAATGTGTTTCTCCTATGAGCCGCAGTCAGACCATTTTGATAGGCTGAGCGGCATTCCATGTGACTGGTCGGTAGGTCTTTGCCCTTTGTTCATAAACCTATTTTCAATGCATGCAGCCTGTGCAACGGGTTCTTGTGTTTAATAAATCCGAAAAATATCAACCAATATGTCTTAAATAGCTTACTACACACCCCAAGCACTGCGCAAAACATTGAAAATTGGAAATTGTTTCTCTGACCAGGGCGCCGGTTGTAACAGTCTTAGAGTAATATCACCGTGGAGTACTGGTAGTGTAAATGCAAAATCTTATAGCTACAGTGGTAAGAAGACTTTAGCATAACTAAAGAGAAAGCTGAATTTTTAACTTCCGGAACTTTTAATGGATTCTGCCTCTTTAAATGTCAATATCTGTCTGCAACAGTGGCCTACTTTACTATAAAAGAGATACCTCTACCGGTAGGAGAGTGATCCTCTGATTGGTTGTTGCAACCAATTTTTTTTGTTTCGAAATTGCATTCGCTACAATTATTCTTGAATTGAATCC